GTCACTTTTCAATCTGTAAGGATTTTTGGAATTTGAGTGGCACCGTTGCATAGAGCTCGTCGATATGAGTTTGTAGACACGTAGTGGGCCCAAATCAGAGTTTTAACAAAGAAGTTACGGTCAATGGAAGTGTAGTGGCACAATTGTAAATATTTCAAACTCGGATTTAAAAAAAAACCTAGGTCTGTTCTCTCTCTCTCCCCCCACGCGACTTTCTCTCTCCTCCCTCGCGATGAAACAGTCTGACACCTTTGGCCGGCGAGATCTCCCTCCAAGCACCTTCAGCCATGATAACACCCCAATTCGAACCGGCCCAGCCCCCTCTATCCATTCCTCCCCTTCTCTGACGAAGCCAAGACCTCCAGCGCTGGCGAGAGCTTGAGAAAGCTCCGGTTTTCTTTGAAATTTTCCATCGTCGTTTCCGACGATTCCGGCCACCATTTTTGTCGGTCCAGGTATGCTTCTCCACCTACTCAACGTGATCTAGTTGATGGTTTGGTTGGTTAGGATCGATTTTGAAGTTTTAAAACTCAATATAGAACCTAGGTTTTGACCCATTTTTGAATGCGTTTTCTGGCCATTTCCTTGAAAAATTGGGGATGGGCATGGGTCATGGTGTGGTGGCCCATTTTGTTCGAAAATGTTCCCCATGTCGTCCTGAGAACGATGGTATGCTCGGATTCGAATTTGGTTATCGTTTGACGGTCGAACGGATTTACGCCTATTAGGTGATACGCAGGTTCGATATGTTCATACCGTTGAATCGGCTCAATTTCCAAGTTTGTTGTTCTCTGTACCTCTAGGATCGTGTAAGAACTCACAGATCGAGAATCGGAGTCCCGGACACACCGAATCAATGATTCTAAGGTTATGTAAAACGATGACCGTCTGATCATGCAATCGAGAGCGATCCGACCGCTTGATCAAGACCAAACTTGTAGAACGTGTTTAGTAGACTTTGTTGAAACTGTAGGAATTTTCATATCGGAAATCGGTGGTCATGGGCCGCGCGGGCCCGGTTGACCAAGTTTGGAAAGTTTGACCACTCGGTTGACCGAGAGTCTTTTGAGGTTATTCCACTTTTCGAAATGCGTAGTTGGACCTTAGAAACTCCCAATTCGTCGTACACACACTTAAATCCCGGAAAAACTAGGAGTTTGTTTTAAAGTTCTCTTTCACGAAATGCTTTATTTAATCTAATTCTCATATTCTTCAATAGGCACTCAGGCTCAGCGTGCTTAGCAAGCAGGACCCTCTCAGGGTGACGCAGCTTCGGACTTTCTGTGAGTGGACTTTGTTTTGAATAAGCATTATTTTCAAAGATTAGATCACCATGCATCTAGATTGGACTATTTTGATTATGGAGTTGATATATTGTTTTAATTGTGGAATTAGCGGTCGTTTTGATATTTAAAGTTTATGATTATTTTGGATATAGTTTATATGCTTTGAAAAGTTGTTATTTACATCATGATTAAAGAACTGGGCAAGTGGTTTATGAGAATGGGTACTTTGTTGATTGTTTTGTGAGTTCTGTTTTGCACCACGCTAAGTACCCTCCCCTGGTTACTTTACCTACACGTGGCGTCAGACTTTCCGACATGTGGGCTCACTTGGTTATGTTAATACTTTATCACACGTGGCGTTGGATTTTTCGGCGTGTGTGCTATAGTGGTAGTCCCCCAGTTGGACAACTCATCCCTAGACGCATGGTAGAAAGTTGAAACCCTGTGGGCTAGTCAAACAATCTCCATGTTGGATTGTTTTGTGTTGGTGTGGTGGCCTATAATATAACTATTATATGTATATTTATAAATTTGGGGCATATATCTATACAATCATGAGAATTTTCGTGGTCTATATGTATATAACTATATATATGTATACGCTTAACTACTTTAAAAGTTTTCCTTACATACTATGTTTTGTAAACCTATATCTCGGAAAGGGGTTTGGTTAGAGTCAAAAGATTTGAACTAGGATAGTGCTATATTATGTCGGGAGTGTGAGAGTGCCTCCGTTTCATATTGATTACTTATGAATGGTTTCCATTGCATGTTTTTAGCATCTTATATCTCGGAAAGGGGTTTGGTTAGAGTCAAAAGATTTGAACTAGGATAGTGCTATATTATGTCGGGAGTGTGAGAGTGCCTCCATTTCATATTGATTACTTATGAATGGTTTCCATTGCATGTTTTTAGCATCTTTTTCCAAATGGTGGGGTTAGTATGTTGTTTTCAATTATGATAAAACTTTATTTTTGTCCACTCACAATTTTCTGTTTTGCGCTCCCCATGCAGTAGCTTGATCTGGGCCGTGACTTGAATTTCTGAGCCCTGAACTTCTGTAGGGCAATCTTTATTTGTCTCTATTTCCATTGAACTTTCTTTTCGGTTGTATACTGAATTTCTTTAGAATTGCTCTGTTATTGCCCATATTAGGTTTGGATGTAAGCTGGAGGCCTATTCTTTAAATTGTGTGCTTTTGTATTGTGCGTGCTGCCGGTTGAGAATTTTACTATTACTATGTTTTAACAAGTTGAATTTTTGGGAAAAGTCCGTTTTTCAAGGGAGACTCTGCCGGTTGGGAATTTTACTATTACTATATTTTGACAGGTTGAATTTTACTATTACTATATTATAAATACCTCATTTTGAAGAGTGAAATACAATATGAAAATAGTCTACCGATATTGTTTGACTCAATGTTGAATTTTATTTAGTTGAATCAGTAACATGGAAAAGAGAAATAGAGGAGGTTGGCCAGTAGTGAGGAGCAGAGGAGTTGCCGCTGCTGAGATGGGGGCGGAGCCACATTGGGACCAGTGTGGTCATGGGCCCCCACTCAATTTGTTTATATTTTAAAAGTAATATACTGTTATGTATTTCTATATGTATATTATTTCAAATACTTTATGTTTTGATATGTACCCACATGTGTTGTGGTGGATCTATTAAGGCACAAGGAAGTGCTTCAAATTGCCCATTTACTCAGCTGGTAGTGGTGCACTCCAGGTGTACAGATTACCTTATTTTCATTTTCAACATTTAAGTAAATGTCTTTGTCCTTTTACTTTCATTTATTTTTATATTACTCCATTTGTCCTTTTACTTTCATTTATTTTTATATTACTCCATTTACTTAAGTTTACAATGTAAAAAAGGAAGTACCCCCTATTTGGATTCAAATAAAAATACTAGAAAATCAAATTCCCACCAAATCAAAATAAGAAAAATCGGTTTTAGTGCAAAATACGATTTAGGCTAAAAATGATGGCTCATTAAGT